GGAGTGGGTCCTACGCTTTTTGGGAAGATGATTGCTCAGACTTGAAAAATGCCCATAATGAAGTTGCTGCCGTTTTAAAAGTCGTTTGACAAAATGGTTCGGAATTTTAAAAAATCCGACACTCAAAAGATGTTTAGTAGTAATCACATTGCTTTTTGGCCAATACACAATTTATCAATGATTTATAATTTTGTTGAAGAATGTAAACGAGACGAGATAGATCGTGAGTTATTCGAGATTGACTCGATCAAGGCTCGATAGATACTCGGATCGAATGGACTCGACTCGAGTTTTAACGAGCTGAAACAAGCTACTCGATATTCGACTCGAAAAGTTTGTGAGCAGCTTGAAATATAATATATTAAGATTTTATTTAAAAAAATAAATTAATAATATTAATATTTATGTATTGATTTTTTTAAAAATATAGTAAGATTTCATGTATTTAAGGTTCATGTTCGAGTTCGAGTTTGAGGCTTTAATCGAGTTAAATTTAAGATTTTTTTTCATTTCGAGCCTTTTCGAGCTGATCACGAGCTTCAGTCCAGGATTTCGAGTTCAAGTCGAGCTTGAAAATTTTAAGCTCGCGAGTTTTCGAGTCGAGTCGAGCTCCATTTCAGAGTTTTCGAATCGAGTCGAGTTCAGTAATACTCGAGTTCGACTCGGCTCGTTTACCTCCCTAGTTGAAGACGGGTCTTTACTTTTAAAATTATCAAAGCTTATGGATTTATTATATGAATGTTTTTTTTTTAATTTGAGTTTTCCTCTATCAATGTTATCGATTTTACCACCCTCTGTAAATCGTGATTTGAGCAATGTTTTTAAAATTGGATCGACATTAAACCGGTGAAGGTATTAGTTTACTGATTCAATCGGGTTTAATCACGGTTGAATTGGATTTTATATAAAATAATATTTTTTTTAAATTTTACATAATATTCAAAACAATATTAATATATATGTAATACTTTTTTTAAGTTTACAATATTAAAAGGTATAAAAATATCACAAGTCATAACATATATAAATTAAAAATTATAAAATCAAGTGAAACAAAATGATTCAAATCAACTACAATAAATATTTAAGGTAAAACATATTAAATAATAAATATTATTATATAACTATAATCAAACAAATAAAATTATGACTTAAAAAAATCATAACAAATGATGTTATTTGATTTATTTTTTTTAAAAACAATCTCACATGGCTAAGAAACATCGAAGAGCATCCCAAAAGTTTAAAGAGAAAATATGAGAATAAAACAATCTCAAATGGCTAAGAAACATAGAAGAGCATCCCAACTTACTTCTATAAATAATATAGGTAATTTGACATTTAAAATCATGGAATCTTTTGGCGAGCACAGAGCGAACTATTCTTTTGCTTCAATTGAGCTCAAATTTTAGACTTCAATCGAACTTCTAATTTTTTTTAGTTCGAGCCTTTTTGAGTTCTAGTTTTAATATTATATTTCGAGTTCGAGTTGAACTTGATAATTTTTAGCTCGTGAGTTTTTTAGTCGAGTTGAGCTTACTTTTAAAGTTTTCGAGTTCGAATTGAGCTCAGCAATACTCGAATTTGACTCGGCTCGTTGAACAAACGACGTCGTTTGGTTTAACTTTTTTTAAAAGAAAAAAATTTAAAGAGTAAAAATATGAGCATCCCAATTTTTTTAAAAAGAAAAAAGTGAACCGGCGGTTCAAACCGATTTTACCGGTTCATCCCGGTTTTACTGGATTTTCAACTGATTCTACCGATTTTCAGCCGGTTCATTACTAGTTCGGTTTTGTGAGGTAATCGGACCGGACATGCCACTGGTTCACGATTCAACCGGTTGAACCGACTGATCCGGTCCGATTTTGATAATCATGAATGAGTATAATTTTCACTTTTTCGTGGTTCGACTTCTATCACCGAAACTTGAAACAAAAAAAAACCGACGACTTTCACCTCAAACACCCCAAACTAATTGCAAAACAAATCGTGCACACACAATAGTTATCGTCACACCATGCTGATCAAACCTGCTTTCCGCAACAAATCGTTTCTTGTCTAAACGTGTAGCAAGCAATGCCCTCACAACGACATTATTCATCTTATGAACACCGCTATGGTTAAGATCCTCCCTCGTTAGGTAGATATTCATGGAAAGCAGTGCATTATTTACATGCTTAATATGCAATAACGAGTGATTAAAGCAGAAATGAAAAATAATAGTATTAAGTATAAATTTAGAAAAATAGCTAAATGATCCAAATGAAAACGTGAGAATAAGTGGTGATCAAATAGATAGTTTAATAAAAAAAATAAAGTATATAAATGGTCTCCGATTATAAGGTGTGTTTTATTGAGTTCTTTGACTATTAAAAGTTACAAAATGATTCCGACTATATGACATTGCTTTATTGATTCATCCGACTATTAAAACTTACAAAATGATCATTCGACTATTCGTATATTTCAAACTCGTCATTTTTCATTAAAAAATTGACAGTCGTCCAAGATAGATGTTAATTTATTGATTGAGATATGATAAAATTTGATCTCATAATCATTTTAGTTGTATTTTGTCGATCAAATCTTTGTTTACATTATGTTATCGAGTCAGTACCTGAGATATTATACTGAAGAGTCAGTGGTTGAAAGTAACGACAGTGTTAATAAACATCAGTAAAATATGATTTTATCATAAATCAGTCGACAATTTAACGTCTACCTCAGATGAAAGTCAATTTTTAAGATAAAAATGACGATTTTAGAACATATGAACAATCGAATAATTATGTTATAAATTTTAATAATAAGAGTTTAATAAAATAATATTTTATAATCAAAGATTATTTTATAACTTATAATAATTATAGAATTTAACAAAACAATATTATATAATAACGAATGTGTGCTTTTCCCTTTAAAAAAAATAGGTGACTGTGTGACGCCAAATGAGGCACGTGTAATAAGTACGAAAATTATTGGACAATGGAAATAAACAAAACATAATGATAAATATCAGTGGTAAAAAAGTGTAGTCTGGAGTCAATGTGAAAGGGATAGCAATGAATTTTTATCCTATTTTCTTAACTATAGAAAAAATCTATTAATATATATAGAGATTAATATAAACATAAATTAATAAATTTAACCAAAAATTATTAAAAGAGTGTACGAACAATTTCAAAGTCTAAACTCTAAAATAATAATATGCATATACATTAAAATAATAAATAGGGTTTGGTTTTAAAGTGTAGTAAAATATTAATTAATAAACTAGTATTTTTATTGTTTATTAAAAATTAATATATTAGTAATTTATAATCTTTTTTATTATCAATTAGTAAAGTAATAATTTTTTGAATGAAATATTTTTTTAAGATTAATATTATAATAAAAAATTAACAAATTGTTCGCAAACTTATCGGATCGAGTTGAGCTTTATTTGACTCAACTCATTAATGTCTCGCGTCGAGTCAACCCGAATCGAGCTTTTACTAAATTTAAACACTCCTAGATGTAATGTAATCATCTCCAGTTTCTGCTTACAGCCTTGGGTCGGTTTAGTTGGAGATGTAATAGGTTGATGATGGGAGGAAACGAGAAAATAAGTAAGAGAGTTCGGTTTAAACGGAGTTTTAAATCTTTGGTCACTGAAGTGCAAGAATAAATATGAAGAGATAGAATAAGTCAACAATTAATCCTCATTTAATTGTCCATAATACACCAATAAATTTATTGATTTTAATTAATAACATTAAATGAACTTCATTTAAGTTTAAAATTATAAACTATAAAGCGACCTATAATTAATAAGTAATAACAATATTTTTAATAATTATTTTAATTTCATTTAAAGCCAACCCCATATATAACCAAAGCCTATAATAAAAGCTTAACCCATAACCATAACCCAAACTACACCCAACACGATCAAAACTCAAATGCCATATAGTAGAAACCCAAATACCTTGAAACTCAAGTGATGAGTGCTCCATTTAGATATCAGTGTTTAATTGAGTCGAGTCGAAAAAATTGATTAATGATTACTATTTTATAACTCGAATTTAATTTGAATTTTTTTAGAGTCGAGTAAGTTTTCGAGTTTAAATTTAATTATAAATATTTTTAATATTATGATATTATTTGATTCCAATTTAATTGATTTTTTATGACCATATACAATACATATATATTTCTTCATATTTGTTTTCATATGTAATGTACGTATATCATACATAGTTGAGGCACCCGACTCAAAACTTGAAAATCAATCCACTATTACTAAAAATTTTGAGTTATTCGAGTTGTATTTTATAACTCGATTTGAACTTGAAATTTAATTTTCGAGTCGAATCAAGTCGAAAAAATTAATTTTTCTAGTGAATTCGAGTTTTTATCATCCCTAAATCTATGCATCTCTTTCAGGGCTGAATATATATATAATTAATATTAAATCATTTTAAAAATAAATTTATAATATTTATTTATAATAATATATAAGTTTAAATTATTTAAAATTAAATAAATATTATAAAAAAAACTTATTCTATCATAAATAATTTACAATTTATATTTTATTTAAAAAAGATTTGTTAAGTAAAATAATAAAAACAAATATTTAGAGAAAAAAAACTAAAGAAAAGAAAAAAGAAAAAAAATATGAAGATAAAGAATACAACATAAATTATGACAGAAGTGCTGCAACTCTGCTGTCTGCAATGGGGGCAAATTGGCTGGGATTTTGCTTTGAATTGGGTCGTGGGAAATCTTGCGCAAGTCCCTTCATTGTTTGTATTTTAAAGATTGCTTGGAGGATTTTCTACTTTATTTGGAGAGGACGTAATCGTAAGGGGGAGTTTAAATCAATTGAGGATATTGTGGACTGTGTTAAGGAGGTGGTTAAGATCCGTTTGCAAACTCATTATATAGATTGATTGGATCGGGTAAGTTTTGCTTTGTGCAGTAGTTTGGGGATCCATCGATTGTATACAGCAGCACAAATGGATACCAATGCCGAGATCAACACTCCCACCACTACTTCCACTTTCGAAAACGTTCTCTTCACCGACGAAAGATACGAGACAGGCTACGAGAAAAACAACAAAGATGAGTACACCACGAGCAATTACAACTACAATGACGATGACTACACCCTCAGCAACTACAATACCAATGGCTACGACGGCAACTACAACAATAATGGATACGAGACCGAGAGACAAGGAATGAGTTACACCAGATTTGTGGAAGGTGGTAAGCATTTTTATAATGTGGAGAACAAGAATTTCTACCCTAATGAATATGAGTTTTCATCGAGCAAGGAAACTAGTGAAAATGAAGGTTACTACGGAAATACAGAGAACCCCATGGAAGATGAGTACCAGGAGAGACAAGAAGAGCATGTGCCCTTGATATTTGGTTTGGAAGAGTGATTCATGGGATCAGCCTTTTCTGTGTTTTATTATTTCACTTCACTCGCGTTTTGTTATTTTACAAATCAAAATGGAAATTATATTTTGAGATAAAATTAAAATATTCAAAAGTATTTAGCGTTAGCTGCTTGTGAATGGCAATGAGGGATGACTGAAGACGGACCGACGGTAAAGGCAATGACCACGTGCTCGGTGAGATTGAGAGATACACGTAAGACCGGTGCAAGAGAATTGATACTAATTTGAGAATTCTAAATTTGCAATTGGGGTGGGGGTTGGTCGTTTTGGGGTGAAACGATAAGGGAAATTTTATGACCCGAACATGACCACAAATATCCATAGCAAGTGTTCCGGTAACAATCAGCTATTGCATAAACCACAAAGACCTATGCCATGCAACATGTCCTGCTTCTGTCAAATGAATAAGAAAGATCTGCAAGACGCTGAGACTTGAATTATTAAATGTTGGAAACGCAGAATCAAGGCCGGCATACCAAATAGAACTATGCATGTTAGTTGCCGAAAAATAAAAAAATAATAATTATTTCATTTTAAACATACAAGGAATGCCTAAAACAAATCCCTAAATCACAAGGCAAGCACTGAAGCAGGGCATTTGGTGTTCTATTGTAGAGCATGAAAACTTCATAATGTTCTACCTCTGGAGCACCGGTAACAAATGCATGAAGATATCAATAACTCCCTCTTCGTGAAAACATAAACGTATCCATTAAGGCCGTCGTTTACGGTCGTCTTCTTCTTCATCATCAGAATCACCACTCTCCCGGAAACGTGGATTCTTCTCCTGTTGAGTCGAAGTTATGGTTTAAAATATGCAACAGACAGGAAATGTGAGAACATTAGGATTGGAAAATGATATAATCTTTCTTAAATGTATCTATTTCCAGCTTATTGTGTCTCCTGACGGCTTATATAAAATCAAGAGGAGCAAAGTAGGGGGACAAAAACAACTCAACATTTCTCGACAAAAATCTTTTCATAGTGCTGTGAAGCATTACCGGTCTAGAGTCATGGTCAGAGGCTCTCCTGGATTCATGATCTGAGTTTCTCTTTGAGGACTCTCGTCCATGGCGGTCATCATCTCGGTCCCGCTTCCGATGGGAATCTGATTTATCAACAATAACCAAATCTATGAATGGTTTGAGCATGTGTCTACATGACAATAAAAACTAGTGAATAAAAGGTAAATACCTCTACCATGACGATAAGAACCACCATGTCCATGGCCCCCACCATGCTTACCATCTGTAATTATATAACATGTCAGTATGTTTCATCTTTTCTCCGAGCACATTAACACACAAAACAACATGAGATGCACATTAAAGGACAGAGGATCCTTTAAACACATAAGGTAGATGGTATCGAGGAGATTTGCTTTGTTACAGAGGACTAAACCATGCAGGGATCAAATGATAAGTAGAAACGAAAGTGATATAAACTGAGTATAAAAACCTCGCTGCAAAAAACAAACAAATTATCTATCAAGAATATAAAATAAAGCCTACTTTTTCAAATATGTTCATAACTTACTATAGAAGAGGCTAATCATATCTAAGAGAGCCAAACATTTTCCTTCTCCACTAATTATCATCTTCTAGTTTTTATTTGAAGCCATTAGCTTATATTTTTCTCGGTTCTTTAATATAGAGCATGCAGACTAGAGTCTATAGAACTATATTTTAAAACAAGGAGCAGAAAACAATAGGCAACTTCGTCATTTTATGAGCTCAAAAAAGGAAAAATTCTAACCAACAACGCAAACTAGAGTCTATAGATCTATATTAAAAAGTCTGCAGGAACTTACAATGAGGGGGCATAACCGGTGGGAAAGCGCCCAAGGACCCAGCACCATAATCTACAAGCTGCCTTTGTGCTTCCAATTCTCTTTGAACTAATTTTCCATAGCCACCTCTGGGTATAGTTTGTTAAGGTATGAGACAATATATAGACAGAAAAGACATTCAGAAGAGAACCCAATGGTTTATGTAGGAACCAACGACCGTATTTTTCAATGCATAAGCATTCATATACTTATGCATCTTTCATTTGTTTTTTGTTTTGGAACAAGTTAAGAAATTATGAGCATCAAATTTCAAACAAACAGTTGAAAGGATATCAGGATCATAATCAGTTCGGTATTCATCTCGCACCTGCATATATATAAAGCTTAGTTGATTAATACACGAAAAATAGTAGTTTAGCAATACTCTCTCCATCCCAGTTGATATATCACAGTTCCATAGTAAACAAGCCTAGAACTAAACATCCAATTACACAAGCCAAAACAATAAAAAAAAATTCATTAAAATATGCATTAAGTCATGCATTTGAAAAATTGCAGGCAAAACAAAAGGAACTTACTTGGCCACCACTTCGGCCACGGCCCCATTGCCTTCCTTCAACAAATCCCCAATCGAAATCTACACGAATTGGGCGGTCGTCAAGAATGGTCCCGCTGATGTATTTAACAGCATCCTCAGCATCTTCCCTAGAATAATACCTGATGAAAAAACCCGAAACAGAAACAAAAACCCAATAATCAATTAAGAGTTGCAAATTGAATATTAGCAATTATTTTGGAGAAAAACAGAGTTACAAGACAAAGCAAAAGCCGCAAGGTGTCTTAGAGTTCTTGTCAAGGCCCATAATTATTTTCTTAATTTCACCGGCTCTAGAGAAAAGCTCGTAAACTTGTTCTTCAGTAGTGTAAAATGACATGTTTCCGATATAGACGGTTGTCGAATTGAGGAGTGCTTGCTCGAATTCCTCTTGAGTGCCATTAAATCTTCTGTCTCGGTACGCTGAAAGCTTAGCTGGGTCCTGTAATTTTAACACCAAAAGAATAGATAAAAGAATAATCATCAAGTAATTTACATTGGAAGCAACTGGGAAGCAAATAACATACCTTGAACAGAGAAGCCATTGCCTTCTTCAAAAGCTCCCAAAAATTCGATTTGTCTGCATATAACGAGTTATAAAGGTCGAGGCTTTTGCCTTGCCCTCGATGAACACTACAGTGAAGTTGCTAATAAAGTACTATTTATTGGGCCGTAACTTTTACGAAGAAAAAAGGGGAGTAATTTTTTGTTTCAGCCTTCGGCCCATTATCGTTTCCCCACTTATGCTTATTCGGTTCAGTCCTACTCAGCTATCTTTCTCTACTTCGCCTGGTCTGGAAATGGGGATAGCAACAGGGATAGCAACGGGTAAAGTTGGATTTAGTCAACTCGATTAGACTCGAAAATATATATCATTCATTATTATTTAACCCGATTCGATAATTTTATATTCTTCATCCAATTCAAAAAATATACCATTCACTCGACTTCGGTTCGAACCGAATTTTTAGAGTATACATCTGATCTAATCCGATTTGATCCGATATAAAATAAAGATTTAATTAAAAAATAATAGATAGAGGAGATATTATAACAATTACTCACAAATTTATTTGAAGAAATTACACTTACTCTAAGTTGGAGTTTTTTCATTCTCTACCTGAATTCAACCCGACTCAACATCATTCCCTTAAAAAATCTAATTCAACTTAACCTGAGCCCAAAATTGTCTTAAAAAAATATGATTCTATTAATTCGAGTCAGATCAAAATCGATCGATTTCAGATTAAATTGCATCACTATCCGGAAAGGCTTCCAAAACCCAAATCCTTGAAGCATAAAGAATAAAAGGTAAAAGTACGTTTGGTTTCAGGAAATATAGACTATTTTCATTTTTTATATTTTTAGAAAATAGAAAACGTTGAAAAAATACGTTTGGTGGTAAAATTAGAAAATGAAAATAAAAATAAGTGAAAATCTGAAAAGATATAAATGATGTTTTCAGTGTTTTCTCAGAAAATTGCTTTCAAAATTTTAAAAAATAAAAAATTATGGGTTTCACGTTATAACTTACAGCGCAAAAAAAGCATTCATGTTTATCTCTGCAATTAATCAAAAGAACATCAATATTTTGTAAAATCCATGCTTCAGTGGTAGAATCGACTCTAAAACCTTCAAAGCTTGTGTTCCTCTCATCACTCACAACTCATACTTTGAGGATTTTTCTACAACAACGATGTTTATATTTGTTTTGCTAAAATGTATGATATAATTGGAGAATCTTTCTACAATTCTTACTTTAAGGTAATGCTCTTCTCAAATAATTTATGTGTTTTAAGCTTTACAATTATACTAGACTTAAACAATGATCAAATTTATGTAATATTGTTCTTTGCATCGGAAGCAATTACTATCTTTCACTAACACTTGATTTAAAAAAAATTGAAAGATTTTCTGCCTATTAATTGTTCTTTGTATCGAATGGAATTAAAATCTTTGTATAACAACTTTTTAATTTAATTTAATTATACGAGTTGAAGTTATAATAATATCTTTCGATTTAATTCACATTAATTATTTTACTTTAGTACAACTTCTAATCCTAATAAAAGTATCTTTCTTTAATTACTTTTTAACCTTTTATTTTAGTATTTAAATATCAATTATCTTAAAGCTCATAAATTGCAAGTTAATTGTTGATCTGATGGTTTTATATTTGCCAGGTAAATAACTAACTTCATATGAAATTTCTTATTATTCTTATGTAGTTTTTTGTTTAATGTTAATGCTTGTAATTTGTATCTTCTATTTGTCATTGGTTTTTTAATTTAACTATATTCAATTATAGTTTGATTTCTATTTGAATGTCTATTAGTATATCGGAATGTTTTAAACACGCTGTTAATGACACAAACCCATCTGTAGTCTTCTTTATGGAGACTAAGTTGCAATCGGTGAATATGGAAAGTGTTCGTCGTAGTTTTGGTTATCCGAATGGTATTGAGGTAGTAGCAGCGGGCCGAAGTGGAGGAATGTGTTTCGGCTGGAAAACGATTGTAAGGCCTCTTTACAATCTTTATCAAATAGGCATATTGATGTGATTGTTGAAGAAGATTCTGAAGGTCATAAGTGGCGTTGCACGGGTTTTTACGATTCCCCTCAAGTTGCAAATCGTGAATAAGCTTAGAATTTACTCCGACAACTAAATATGGATCCATCTTGTCCGTGGTTAGTGATTGGAGATTTTAATAAAATTTTATCTAATCAGGAGATATAAATAGGCAATCTGCCAAGGGACAGTCAACTGTTGGGCTTTCAATCAGCTTTGACAGATTGTGGCCTGTCTGATATAGGGTACAAAGGAACTTGGTTTACGTAGGACGGGGAAATTTGAAAATAATAATATCCGGGTAAGATTGGATAAGGGTGTGGCTAACGGAACTTGGTGGGATCTCTTCCCTCATTTTCAGCTCGATCACCTCTCGCACTTGATATCTGATCACTGCCCTCTGTTACTGAGAACAGAGGCTTTGTTCAATTCCCATAGACCCCATTGGCATTTTCGTTTTGAGGCTTCTTGGTTAACCGAAGAATCATGTGAGCAAGAAGTTAAACGTTTGTGGACAGCGAGTACTGAGATGTTTTTGGAGAAATTGAAAGCTGTGAGTTTTGGGTTGGAAACGTGGTTTCGAAAGTTACAAAGGGAGAAATGGATTACTGAAAAACAATTGAAGGAAAGGCTGGATCAATTAAATGAAGCACAGTTGACTGATGAAGTACTAGGGGAGATTATCGATGTTAAGATGGCACTTAATTTAGAAGCTGATTGTGAATCAATTTATTGGGAACAACGAGCAAGGGCTAATTGGCTAAAACATGGGGATAGAAATACTACTTTTTTCCATAAAGTTGCATCATGTAAACGACGTCGAAACATGATTATGAATTTGTGCGATCGAGATGGCAATATACAGGATGAGTACGACCATATGAGTCGTGTGGATCATGACTAGTTTAAGGAGTTGTTTACTTCCCAGGGAGAGTTTGACGTTTCAGAAGTACTAGATGAAATTATTCCCCGCATTACGAATTAGATGATTGAACAACTTATTAAACCGTTTGAGCGATGTGAAGTGTTGGAGGCTCTGAAATCGATGGCCTCATTAAAAGCAGCGGGTGAAGATGGTCTAGGTGCTGTTTTCTATCAAGGTTTTGGCACATTGTGGGGGAGGAGGTCACTGATTTTTGTCTTAACATTTAATTGGGAGTCCTTCGATGAACGAAATTAATAGAACCCACATCGTGTTGATTCCTAAGGTATCGAACCCTTCAAGTATGACTCAGTTTCGACCTATAAGTCTTTGTAATATACTGTTCAAAATTATCTCTAAAATGTTAGTAAATCATTTTCAAACTGTCCTGAACATCTGTATCGATGAGGCTCAGAGTGCCTTTGTACTAGGGCGCCTGATCTCGGATAATATTATGATTGCTTATGATACATTGCACTATTTAAAGAAAAGATTGCTTATGAGACATTGTACTTGGGTTCTTTTGCTTTGAAATTGGATATGAGCAAATGTTATGATCGGGTAGAATGACATTTTTATGATCGATGATGACTAAAATGGGTTTCGATTCAGTATGGATTCATTGGATTATGGAGTGTATTCAGACAGTTTCCTACACGGTAATTTTGAATGGTTCGATATGTGATAGTTTTGTTCCGACGAGAGGACTCCGGCAAGGAGACCCTATGAGTCCGTATCTGTTTCTGTTATGTGCTAAAGGTCTTTCCGCCCTTCTTAATTCGGCGTCCCAGAATGGCAGGTTAAAAGGTGTTAGGATTGCGCGAGGTGCTCCCCTAATCACCCATTTGTTATTTGTGGATGACTGTATGATTTTTGGCGGAGCAAATTCACTCAGGGCAGCTCAAATTAAAAGACTGCTGGAAGCTTATGGACAGATGTCAGGTCCATTGGTGAATTTTGAAAAATTCGGTATTTTCATTGAGGCTAACATGATAACAAAAAATAGGAGGGAGGTTTGTCGCATCTTGGCAGTAGATAGCTCAAATAATCTGGAGAAATACTTGGGCCTTCCAGCTATAGTTGGGCGTGATAAGAAAAGGGCATTCATGGGACTCCGGGATGGTTTTAATATCCACACACACAAATGGAGCTCGAGATTGCTTTCTATGGGAGGCAAGGAGGTTTTCATTAAGGCTATCTTACAATCACTACCGATCTACGCAATGTCCTGTTTCTTACTCCCGATGTCACTATGTAGAGAATTTGAGTCTGTAGCAGCTCGTTTCTGGTGGCAACATTCTGTGTCGAAAAGGAGCATTCATTGGTGTACTTGGAAGGATTTATGCAATCGAAAGATGATGGGGGTTTGGGCTTTAAAGATTTTGGTAAATTTAATATCGTTCTTCTTGCCAAAAAAGGGTGAATGTTGTTTCACAATCCTAGCTCTCTCGTGGCTAGGGTATATCAGGCAAAGTATTACCCCATAACTGATTGTAGCAAAGAGAAGGTTGGTTCGAATCCCTCTTTGATCTGGAGAAGTGCGTGGTGTGCGTATGGTATACTAGATCAAGGTATTTTTTGGAGAATTGGGAGTGCCTGCTTGGTCTCTATATGGAATGACTTCTGGCTACCGGATAGCAGACCCAGAAATATTGAGACACTTAGAGTTGATACAGTAAACTGGGTGTCTGATTTCAGCCTAGGACTAGAGAATGAGACGTGGATCTTATCACGTGTATTTTTTATGCGGTCGATGTAAGGCGAATTCTAAATATCCCTCTCTCGCAGACTATATCACCTGATGTCGGAGTTTGGCGAGGGGAAAAAACTGGGATATATTCTGTCCGAAGTGGATACAAATTTCTAATGGGATAAAGTCATTCAGAGCCAGCGTAGTACGGACTGCCTGAGCAAGGTTCGTATTTTATTATGGAAAATGTCCATGAATTATATTCCTTGTTTTTAGAATCTATATATGAAACACATTGCCAATCGACCTCATTTTCCTACATGTTTAATCCATGTGGAATCGGTGCTGCATTTTAGTAGAGAATGTATGTTTTCTACTAGTGTGTGGAGTGGACTAGGATTTCAGTGGCCGGTGACAGTTAGCATGCTGAGTTTTCAAGATTTGTTTGCGTGGATATCACAGAATCTTAATCGAACCCAAAAGAAAAAGGTTGGCTTAACCTTGTAGGTGTTATGGTATGCCCGTAATCGGGTTGTCCATGAAAATTATGTACAATAGCCATATGATGTCATTACTTTTGTGTTGTGCTATGTGACTGAACTGGAAAACATAACCTATACCTTTGCTCATCCCAATCCACAACAAGTGGCTGTATGGATTCCCCCTCTAAGCCATCTCGTCAAGGTTAATATGAACACTGGTTTCCTTCAACATAATGGTAAAGCAAGCACAAGTGTCATCATTAGAGATTATAGAGGATTTATAATGGGAGCAAGTTGTAGATTCACTTATAGGGTGGGTTCGGGGTTTAAAGCGGAGGTGCTAGCTTTTCTTCAAGACCTTCTTTTCGCTGAAGAATTGGGGTTTCGAAGAATCGAAGTGGAAGGTGATAAAAATCAGTCGTCTGATGCATCATGGCCATGGAGGAGAACCTGTCAGAAATAAGGGCTATAATTATCGATATCAGGAGCATATTATCTTTTATTCAGACATGCAACTTTCAATTTTCACCCAGGAACAACAATCAAGTGGCATACATCCTTGCTCAAAAAGGTTTAAGGGAATCGATGAACCTGTTGTGGATCAAAGAAGTGCCAAAAGAAGCGCAAGAAGCCGTCGATCGTGACCGCCGCAACCTCGATCCCCCGTGACTTTTCGTCTCATGTTTGTGGTGAGGGATTATGATAATCTGACCCTCCCCTGTTTTATCGTCTTTACACTACGCTCTTCAAGAGGATCCTTTCGAAAGAGTAAAGCTTGCCGTCTCCTGAGCTTCTTTCATATTTCATTTTGTTATTTTATTTTGTTAGGCTCTTTCTAGAGATTGTCAATGCATTTATTCGGACAATGGCAGCCAACTGTCTTGTGGCTTCCTTTTTTTTTCATGTTTTTTAATTATAAGCTCTACAACAGTTTTCTTAAAAAAAATTAAGAAAATATCAACACTGTTGACATTGTTGGAATTTAGATCGAATTTGGAACATCAAGACCTTGTGTTATGTGGTAGTTTTCTCTCAATTTTTGCGCAGTGTGTCTGTAGAGATTTAAATGACCATTGTTCATGGTTGTGTTATATTTATGGCGATTCAAATATAGATATTATTATGATAATTGTGAATACTGTGATATTATTTTTTAAAATGAGTTGATTTTTTTTTTAAAATAGTTGATCTTTTTAAATATTAAATAGTAGAACAATATCGGGAATAGTGACATGTTACTATCGTGATTGACTATTACCTGTTAAATTGTGACCGTAATCTATCGTTATTGATGCGATTTCATTTCACATCGCTATTTTCTATGACAGTGATTTCGAATACTACCGTTATCGCTATATAGCGGTCGTTATTTCGCTATATGGTGGCTATTTGAATTCCTGCATGTACGTCCCTTTCTTCTTTGTTTTATTGGTGGCGACGTTTATCTTGGTGCTGGTTATCGATCGTCGATATTCATTGTTTTCTTCTACTTTTTTATATTGTGTTTGTTTTTCTTTTATTTTTTAAATCTAATAATTATGCTTTTGTGAAACACTTTCTTCTGCCTTTATGATACGTTTTTATGCTATTTGGCATGTTTTCAATCTTCTTTATTAGTCTTTTGATTTTCTCATGGTTGTATATGACACCACATCGACTTATCAATATGACAGTTAATTTGTTATCCTGTTGATCTTCTCTACTTTGGACCTTTAAATTGAATTTAGCTATGCAATTTATGTTCGAAGATATTTTCTCACTATGCTTGACTCTTATTTATGATTGCCAATGATCTTTCAGTAGTTTGATCTCATGTTGTGGTTTGTTTATGACACAATCAAATATATCATATCTATATTTTTTAGAATTTTTTAGATGAGATTTTAACATTTTCCTTGTATAATCCTTGTATGATCTCAAGTGGCTAATTTTTTGTGTCAATGATTAAAGGGAATGTCCTAATAATATGTTTAGTTTACGTTTATGATGGTAAACATTCATTGTAATTTTAAATAGTTTTTTAATAAAACTAATTGTTTCTATTTACATAATAATATATATTAAGAAATAAATAGATGTCAATTTAGAAAAGCATTTTTTTTAAAAGACTTAATATAAAAAAGTGCCCAAACTAGACCATTTTTTTAATATGGTGTCTAAACTTTTTTCATCAATCTAGATGCCTAACATTACAAATGTTACCACTTTAGGTGTCTCGACTGTAACGGTCTTTAAAAAATCCAGTTAAGTGATACATATCATAATCTTGTAATTTTTAAAATTTTATTTGAAAAAACCTTAAAATAATTTATTTTTGGAAAAAATCCAAATTTTTTAAAATACCAAAAAATCCCCAAACTCCCTAAATCTCTAATTCCACCCCATATTAATATTTGGTTGATCAGAGTCATACTTGGTGAGTTTGACGATGACGGGGAAACGACATCGTTGTCGATAGTGAAGGAGACTAGCTCTAGCATTGCTCTGATTAACGTCACAACACCACTCACTGTTGCTTCGTCTTTTCTCTTTGCGTTTCTCTCCCATCGTGGCACCACCTACCAACCGCTATTGTCTCATCGTCGAAGCCCACCCATCAATCGTTAGATTCTACTTCCAACCACCTCTTTGTCGTCGGCCTAATAGAAAATTAGAGTTTTGATATTTGAGAATTAGGGTTTTATGAATTGTTAGATATTTTTGTGTAAAATAGAAAAGTTTAGGTCTTTTTAATATAATAATATTTTAAAGCTTTTCTTTAAAATAAAAATTTCAAAATTACTAAAATGCAACACATGTCACTTAATAGAATTTCTTAACGACCGTTACGGTCATGACACCTAAAATAATAATGTTTGTAATGTTACACCTGCATTGATCGTAAAAAAGTTTAGACATCACTTTGAGGGAAGGATATAGTTTGGTAATTTTTAAAGCCTTTATAAAATGATAATAGATAAAAAGAAAAAAAGAAAGGGTAAACTAATCAAATGATCATTAATGTTTGGGTAAGTTTTCGTTTTCACCATTGATGTTTCAAAAGTCACAAATCGGTCACTAACGTTATCGTTTGTTACAAATTGGTCACTCGACGTTAACAATCATTACAGGTGTCACGGAAAACACACGTAGAGTGTTAGCTGCTTACATGAATGGTTTGACCACCACAGTGGAGAACTTCACTTCTCCATTTGACCGGTGTTTTACCAAATATTTTAAAAAATTAATTAAACAATAAAATGACGGGGGAAAGTCAAGGGAAAATCTGATTACCTTTTCTTCTTCCATTCTTCACTTCTTCCTTCACGAGAGAAGCAGTTTCAGAGAGTTTCAGAGAGGGTTTGAGAGAAATAAGGGGAAATATGAGGAAACAAAGAGAGAGAAACATAGAAAGTTAGTGATTAAGAGAAAAAAACAAGCAATACTTCGATTTAAGAGGGGTTCAAAGTGATTGGATTTGAGAAAAATTTTAGGGTTCGAAGTGAAGATGGTATTTACATGGAGGCTATAGAAAAAATGGGACAAAGCAATGCTTTACGGTAAGCTTCATTTTGAGTTTGAGAGAAAAGGTAAAAACCTAGGTTTTTGATAGAAAATTAAATAGGTTTTCTTTGAAATAATGTTGATTCTTTTGTTATATGTTTACAACTTTACTTATTTTCTTTTGAAAGAAAATGTATGTGGAACATTTAACTGTTAGATTTTCACATGTATTTTGATATGATTTTTTGAAATGATTTTCTATGGTTTTCTTGACAGAATAAGTTTATGAAATATTTATATGAAATCATTTTCTTAAATGATGTTGTTGATTCTTTTGTTATATGTTCACAACTTTATTTGCAATGCTTTATGTTTATATGATCACTTTTCATGTTGATATGATATGTTATATGTATATGATATGATATGTTATACAACTTTACAACACTTTACTTGTAATGCTTTCTGTTATATATTATATGATTTCTGTCGAAATCTATATGTACTTTATATGATCACTTTATATCCACTTATGTATACTCATGCATGCGATTTTGAATGTTGGTGGTTTGTGTTATGTTGTAAAGGTTTTGACATGTAGGATATGTTGAATGTTGACTTTTGTGAAATATGTGGGATATGTTGACTTTGTGGTTTTGAGATGTTTGTATGTTGAATGTTATATTGTTGTGGACCATGCAGTTTAATAAAATATTTTGAATGTTGTAATGTTGAGATCCCTACATGTTTGGAAAATAATGGTTAATATTGTGTTCTTGTGGACCACAAGTATTTGATAAATTTTGCTGACTTTATGAGTGTTTATATGTGTACATGTATGATATGCTTGTAACTATAAATATTCTGAATGTTATACTATTGTGGGCCCTATATGTTTGCATGTTGAATATTGTAATGTTATGGACCATATGTTCATCTGATAAAATATTATGTCTGGTAATGTATTTTGTATAGGCCCTACATATTTGCATGCTGAAAATTGTAATGTCATTGGACCATATGTTAATCAGGTAAATTATTATGTAATGTTATAGGTCCTACTATGATGAATATTCAATTTAAATATACAATGTAAACATAAAATTTAAGAACTTTATTAAATTCAAAAATCTTGTTACAGGTTTTGAAGATGAAAATTTTTCTGTTGTGTGCCACTATGGTGGATCATTTGTACATTCACCTAGACTGAAGTTCATTGGTAACAAAATTGCTTATTTTGACTTATGTGATTGTGGCACAATCTCTTTGCTTGACTTTTATGAAATAATAGAGCAAATTAGTCCATACTCATTTACAATTATTCTGGTTAATACCAAATACAAAATTAATTGAGTCTTCCATCATGCCTTTATCAACTGATTCTAATGTAATGAAAATGGTACATAATTTACCTAGGAATAGATATATTCATATCTATGCACAAGTTAAGGGTATAACTAAATTGTAGTTTTGAAAATGATGTTATAGAAATGGATAATGCTGAAAGTGGTGGTGTAGAAATGAATACTGCTAAAATGAATAGTGTTGAAAGGGACAGTGAAGAAATAAGTCTAGTGATGAAGATTTTAGAGGGGACAACAGATAAGTCTGATTTTGAAGAAGTTGTGGTAGAAGATGAAAATAATGGATCTGATGAATCAAATTATGATTTTGTAGAAACTGATGGTGAAATTTCTTTTGATGAGAATGAGACTTTACCTAGTATGGTAGAGAATGATGTGATAAATATTTTAGGGGGCATGGGTAGGCATGAGTTTAACAATAGATCTGATGAAATGTTTGACTCTAGTTCTGTTAATTCTGTGGAATTAAATAGTGACAAAGAATCTGACTTAGATGCTCCTCCTACCTTTCCTGAGTTCAACAAAGAGATTGATATGGAGAACCCTAAATTTCAAAAGGTATATATTTTGTAGTAAAGAAATTTTAAATGAGGCAGTTAGGCAATATGGGAGGGTGAATAGAACAATTGTCTTGTTTAAGGTTAATGACAAAAAGAGATTACAAGCAGTTTGTAGGCCCATGGAAATTATGGGCTTCCCTATTGTGCGGTGATGATTTTGATTCGATCATTTGGCAGATCAAGACTTATGAGTCTGAACACACTTGTGCTAAGTTGTTGAAAAATAAGAATGTCACTTATAGGTTCATCTGGATCAGATATATTCAAAAATTCATGTCTGATATGAATTATTCTTTGACTTCCCTCAAACAAGATGTGATGAGTGACTATGGGACATATTGTTCTTTGACTAAATGTAGAAGGGCAAGGGAACATGCCTTAGAAATGATTCAAGGTAAATTAAAAGAACAATATGGAAACATCTATGAATATTTACTTGAATTAAGGAATACAAATACTGGAACTAAAACTATTTGCAAATTAGATAATAGACTATTTCAAAGAATGTATGTTTGTCTTCAAGCTTCCAAAGAGGGGTTCAAACCAGGTTGTAGAAGGATTATCAGTCTTGATGGTTGTTTTTAAAGGGTTATTATGCTGGTTATTTACTAGCAGTAGTTGGTATCGATGCTAATGGTGGAATCTATCCCATAACATATGCTGTTGTGGAGAGTGAGAACCAATATTCATGGTTATGGTTTTTGAAAAATCTCGGAAGAGACTTGGAATTGAAAACTCATATGGATGATATTTTATGCTGATAGACAAAAGGTTATGTTCTTAACTTTTGAATTTATTATAAAATATTAAGCATATTTATCATAATTATTTATTAAGTTATCCTTGTAAGGACTTGTTGAAGTTATGGCAGAGTTATTCCCTAATGTTGAAGCTATGAATTGTGTAAGGCATATTTATGCAAACTTCAAAAAGTTCACAAAGGAAAAGCTCTTAAGGATGCATTGTGGAAAGCTGCTAAAGCAACTTATGGTAGAGAATTCCAAGATTCCATAACAGAATTGAAGACTTTGTTTAATGATGCATTTGAGTGGCTGAAGGATCTTAACCCTGAACAGTGGTCCAAAGCACACTTCTCTACCACTACTAAGTCTGATATGTTCCTTAATAATCTTTGTGAATGTTTTAACAATGTAATCTTATTATAATAGTATATATATATATATTACTTTTCTATAACTCCTAACAAATTATATATTATGTAGATCATTTTAGAAGTTAGAGAAAAGCCCATCCTTCCTATGATGGTGCTGATTAGAACCAAAATTATGAGGAGAATTGTTCGCATATATGAAGCAATTAAAAAGATTAATGGGCCATTATGTCCAAATATTCTGAAGAAGGTGAACATTATAATTAATCAAGCAACTAGGTAACTATTTTAAACTTTAATATTTTTGTTGAGATATGCTGAAATATGCTATGAAATATGTTAAGATATATTGTTGAAATATGTTGAGATATGCTGAAATATGCTGAGACCATTTGAGATGTGCATACCATTACGAACGCTGAAATATTCTATTGAAATATGTTGTTTTTATTGATATATGCAGGTGTTGGGCTACACATGCTGGAGGGTTGAATTATCAGGTTGAATGTGGGTCAGGACACCAACATGTGGTGGACATGGGCTCCCACTCTTATTCTTGTAGGAAATGGGACCTGATAGGCATCCCATTTATCCATGCAATAGTAGTTATGCAACTGCACAATGATCGACCTGAACCTTATGTTCATACATGCTACAACAAATCCACCCAGCTCGTAATATATTCTAATTTTATTTGTCCTATTGATCGCTTGTGAATGTATATGCTAAGGCAAGCTAATATGTGCAAGTATACACAATCGATGCAAGTAATATAGTAGTGAGTGAGTATCGTCTCCACAGGGATTGGATTAGAAATATCTTTTCACCACAACTAGAACTAACGCCACAAATTAATCCTACTAAGTATTAAAGCTAAGAACTAATATTAAGGAGCTAAGAATAATGATTCAATGATTTCAGACAAGTTTGGTCGAGACAAAGAAAATATGCAGACAAATAAAACAAAAAAAATAAGTATTGGATTAAATATAATGCAAACAACCTCACATATCCAGACGTGTCACAGAGCACTGATGCTAAACCATTGTCTCGGCAACAATTATTTTAAGCCCAT